TCTGGATTCTCGTATAAAACACTAAGGAGGTCTTATTATTCCTTGTTAATATCAACATCATTCATTGATTTCTAGTGGACAGGGATTTCCTTCTGCCCTTAGATAATATTCTGGGACACTGTGCAAAATTCTAACAGCTCTCAAGTACATAATGAATGTGGCCAGGCATGGTGGTACATGCCTGTAATCCAAGCACTTGGGAGGCTGAGGCAGGAGGATAGCTATGAGGCCAAAGCCAACCTAGGCTACATAGTGAGTTCAAGGCCAGCCCAACCAGGCAAGACCCTGTCTCAAAAAAAACCAAAAAAAAAGTACACAATGAATGTAAGTAGACATTAATTTCATATATAATATTTTTGAAATGTTATAAAATTTGAACATGTAAAAATCATAGACTCTAGGAAGTGATATATGATCAAAATCAACACATCATCTTTCTCTCATTATTTCTCCCCAAGCCAACTTCAGGGGTCTAGAAAAGGGGTGGAAATAGGAGTGGCTCCTGTGTTGTCTCTAGTGAACTCCTTGTGAAGTTTTTGCTTCCAGTTCCTGAAACACTGGACTATCGATTTTGAGACCTCAATTCCAAGGCAGACATATCCCACTTGGTCTCAAAAGTTGAGACTACCTCCTGGCCATGGGGAAGATACAGTATAATGGAGGGCGATCAATCCTCCAACTAACTAGAAAGGGGGGCGTCAAAGGCTAAAGAGAAAAAAGACAACAGAGACTTGGTGTAATTTCAAAATATATAGGGGGCTGGGAGGTCAGTGCCTCAGAGTGGGCAAAGACAAGGACTCTCTGAGCTAGCCATTATTTATTGGGTACACACAAAAATTGAGGGAGCATCAGGTGACCTAGGGGCAGCCGTGATCCTAGGATAATGAGGAGCTGATAAAGATCTTAAGTCATGAGGTTGTTTGGAGTTCTGGTCAGAGAGCATTCTAACAGTAGTGGGTGGGATGACTTAAATTTGTCAAAGAGGGCCAGGGATTTAGCTCAGTGGTTCTGGCGCCTCCCTCACAAACACAAGGTCCCAAATGGTCCTGAGTTCAATCCCCAGTACCAAAAAAAAAAAAAGTCTGACAAGGAATTAGTCCTTCCCCAGTTGAACCTTTCTCTTTTGTTTTACTACTTGGTTCTCCAAGAACCATGATGTCTTCAGCTGATGTAATCTTTTATATATATATATATATATATGTATTTATATATATACACACGTACCAGGCTGGCGAAGGACCACTGAGCTACATCCCTGGCCCAGCTGATGTTATCTTGCCCTTGAGGACCACAGTATCATGGAATCACTGAGGCCTCAGCTGTGACCGCAGGCAAAATGGAGTTATGTTTTTGCATGCCATACCCGGCTCAGGGGCAAGGTACATTGAGACTCAGATAGCTATAGTCATACTTTAGTTATGAAATGATTGTTCCCCCAAATTTATGTAGAAATGCTCCGGACAACAGCATCTACAGCCATGTGACTAATGATAGAAATAGGGGCTGTCATGGTTATTAGCATTTTTTTTACTTTGTTATAAATGTATTTGTGTATAGATTTACTAATTTTTTCTTCTCCTTTTCATTCCTCTACCATCTACCATGTATTACTCATAATTTTCCTTTAACCTCAGTATTTGAGTTTCAGGATATTTTGTTTTGTTTTGTTTTTTGCTACTGAGGATGGAACTCAGGCCCTTGTGCTTGTGGGGCAGGTGGCAGCACCACTGAGCTAAATTCCTGGCCCCGAGTTTCAGGATATTGAAGGGAGAATGTGGGGCTGGGCATGGTGGTGAAACACGCTTGAAGTCCCAGCACTGAGGAGCCTGAGGCAGGAGGATCATCACCAGTTTGAGGCCAGCCTGGGCTACATGGTGAGTTCAAGGCCAGGCTGTACTACATAGCGAGACCCTGTCTCAAAAAACAAACAACAGGGCCGGGGGGGGATGTAGCTCAGTGGCTCCATGCCTGCCTGGCAAGCACAAGGTTCTGAATTCAATTCCTGGTACAAAAACAAACAACAACAAAACAAAAACAAATACAAAAAAGGAGAATGATTCAGCTAGAAGAGGCATGAACAAGTCCAAAGATGGGTAGAGGGACTTTGTATCCACACTCAGGGAGAGGAGTAGGGTATTTTTGGTTGTATGAGGATGGTTACATCATGTTAGGTGAATGTATGATTTTCTGGTTTTTGAATTAAATAGGGTTAAAGGGGTATCTGTGGATGCCAAGTTGGTGAGGCACTGACCTTGGTGACTTTGTACCATGCCAATTTATCTAAAATGGAGCTAAATATCTCTGAATTTGTCTCTGAATCTGTGTGCATATTTAATTTTTTGGGGGACAGAGTCTCGCTATGTAGTCCAGGCTGGCCTTGAACTCACTATGTAGCTGAGGTTGGCCTTGAACTCACAGTGATGCTCCTGCCTCAGCCTCCCAAGTGCTGAGATCACAGGCGTGTGTCACTATGCCTGGCTCCCTGTGTGCTTCTCAGTCATGTTGGCCCCAACAGACATTTTTTTTGGTTTTTTTTGGTACTGGGGATCAAACTTGCATCCTTGTGCTTGCGAGGCAGGCAGCAGAACCACTGAGCTAAAATCCCCGGCCCAAAAGTAATTGTTTCCAAAGTTTTCTTCTTTTTTAGTACTGGGGATAGAACTCTGGACCTTGTACTTTCGAGGCAGGCAGTGGAACCATGAGCTAAATCCCCGGCCCCCAACAGGCATTTTCTGTGAATTTGGAAGCCAGGAGCAAAACAGAGTTATGTATTTTACTTTCTGAAGCTGGACGTAGGGTGTTAGGCGGTGGGAGCATTCACTGTACTGTCACCAATGTGCCAGCTCACTTTGTGGCTATGGGCGGCAGTCAGTTCTCAGCTCTTTTGAAGTGGGGCCCAAGAGCACATACGGCTCTACTCCACAGACACTAGCTGCTCCTGGAGGTCACCCACGACATCAGGAGGCATGGCCCCAGGCCTGTCACTTGCTCCTTGTGGTCCTCCTGGTCCTCTGTGGTTAGCTCCCTTCTGTTGGCTGAGGCGCCGCCTGCCGGGACTGCTCCACCAGCTCCCAGGATTGCACACACTTACAAGGGTTCGGCCTCTGTCTTTAGCTCACAGTGCAAGGACAGCCCAGGAGGGCCATGGGAACAGTTTCTCTTCTTATCTCAAAGAATACTCCATTTTCATGGGAGATCCTTTTGATTACTTTCTTGTCCTTGAGACACAGGACCCAACACAACTCAAAGGAGGAGAGGCTTATTTTGACTCCCGGTTTTGGGAGTTTCCGTCCATACTCAGCAGGCTTAACCACCGGAAGCGCACTGCAGAAGGGCCTCTGGGTGGGAGCTGCTCACATCATGGCTTCCAGGAAGCAGAGCAGAGAAGGGAGGAGAGTGGAGGCAGACACACCCTTCCAGGTGACCCCCCCCACTCACCTGACTCCAACCAGACCCCATCCTCTAACAGCATTGTCATCGCTTTCCAAACACATGAGGTTTGGGGGGCTATTTTAGATCTAAACCCTAACAGAGACAATACACAATATTTTTGGTATCATTTGTAATTTTCACCTGTTAAAAACACAAGTCTCTATTTTATACCAGGAACAATAAATATTTGAAAAAGGAACTCACTGTGAGAACAGGCTTTTTATTTATTACTTTTGAGACAAGGTTTTCCTATGCCTCAAACTCACTACATAGCCCAGGCTGGCCTGACCTTGTCTCCTCTCTCAGACTTTACAGGGATGTGTTACCATACCCAGCACCAGTTCGTCTTCTGAGGTATTCTCAATCATTATCAAATGGTCAGGAGACACAGAAGTACCAGGAACGCTAGCATCAGAGTCCTAGATCTGCCTAAATAAATGCCATTTTATTGTTTTCTGCTTAAAGGAAAAAATAATATATATTAATTGTAGGGAACTTGGTCATCACAACGACACTGATAACATTTTGGTAAATATTCTTGAAGTCTTTCCTTAATGTGTATAATTATAATGTAAATGTATACATAAATATTTTATTTTTATAAAAATTAAATCATATTTAAATTTTATTTTATAAACCAGACTCTCCCTTATACTGTACCATGAATATTTGTCTCTAGATGATTAAATAGTCTTCAGTTCAACCACGTAGCTTTTACTTCGCAGTGTTCTATTGCCCGGATATATATTCCTTTGCTTAGCCCAATCTTATTGTTAGATATTCAGAGCATTTTCTGTTTTCCTTATTTAAATAAAAAATAAAAATAATTCGGAGATAAATAGTCTTCATTAATCCTTCTAACAAAATTTTTATTGAGTAGCTAGCTACTCTGTGCCAGGCATGAAATAGTTCCATCTTTACATAAATCCAGATATAGAAATTTCTGTAAGGTTAAATCGTTCAACAGATGTGTATTGTGACAAGGAGGGCATAAATAGGGAGATCACATCAATTTAAAATCTGACAGACTTAACTTCATAAAATAACAGGGTGGCTCCAAGCCTTCTGGAAGTCTTGGAATATAACACCGTCAGCTGATATTTTGGAGTCCCTCTTCCATTTACCTGAACTCATTTAACGGATTCTGCGGTTTACAGATAAGAAGCGAAAGCCTGAGAACTCTCTAGTGACCCCAGCTCCCTGCCTCTCCCGAGCGCCCCGGCCCTGCCGCGTCCCCTCTGTGCGGTCTGCTGATGTGGAGCAGCGGATCCGCATCTGAGCTGATGGCCGTGGGTGGCACGGGTCAGTGGGGACGAAGAGCCGCGCTTAGGCCCGGCTGCTCTCTGAGGGGAGGTCGGGACTGGGCAGGAGCCAGGAACGACTCGCGGTCGGAGCAGGCCGGCCCGGACCGCCGTCCCCGCGCTCCTGTCCTGCCGCTCGGGGTCAGAGGGGCTAGGGCGCGGCAGGAAGGGCGGAAGGCCGGCTCCCGCCCGAGCTGTGGTCGCCAGGTGCCGCGGGCCGCGTTTAGTACAGGCGGGGGCGGGAGGCAGCCTGGCCGACCTCTTCCGCTCGCTCGCAGCCGTGCCGAACCCCGCTCTGACCACACGGGCCGGCGGGCTAGAAGTGTGGGTCGTCGGGACCGGAGCTGCCGCTTTCCGGCTCTTTCGGCGGCGCAGCACAAGTCCCCGAGGTGCCCGAGCCGGCGGCCCGGGTTCTGCCCCTCCGTGCCCGGCTCTGACTCACCCTCGGCCCTCGGCCCCGCCTCCGCCCCTCCCGCCCAGCCAGCTTGGATGCAGCGGGGACCGCGCTTAGGGCTCTGCACCTCCTCGGGCGGCCGCCGCACCCGAGACGCCCGACTGCGAGAGCCGCACCGAGAGGGCTCCTCGGCATGCGCGGCCCCGGGCGCCCCGGCGCTCTCCTCCTGCTCTGCTTAGGCGCCGCAGCTCTGGCCGCTCGGCCCGGGTAGGGCGGGGGTGCGGGAGGAAGGGGTGCTGGGGGCCCAGGGGTGGGGTTGGGGGCGTGGGGCGGGTTAGGTCAGGATCCGGTTTTAGGGTTTAGCATCAGGGTCAAAGTCAGGGCCTGGGGCTTCGGGAGACCAAACGCTATGCGTAGCTTTAGGTTCGGTCAGGGTCAGGGCCAAGGTCAGGGTTAGGGATTAGGGTGGGAGCCAGGGCCAAGGGCTCCAGGAGACTAAGTGCTGCTCGGCCTGGTCCCCAGCCTCGGAACCCTAGGTGGCTTCAGGTCGGCTCTACGACAGACAGTTACTTTTTACATTCAGAATCTTCCAGAGCCTTTCATGGTCTTTCATGCTGTGCTGGGATTCCCACCACTGGAGGTTCATTTTCAGCTGTGTTTCCATCAGTAGCATTGGATGATTCTTTTTTTTGCACGATGTGTAGCACAGAGGTTTTAATAAGAAACAGGCAAAGTCCTACTCTGTTTTTTAAAAAAAGCCAAGACAATAATCCCACTGGGATGAGGTTATCTGTCAAGGAAAAGCTTGGGGCTTGCACTTTTCAGACAACCATTGCACGTCCTGTGTGAGCCCCTTACACAGTGGCTCCTCCTGTGCCATTTGTGGTTAATAACATGCAGATCACAACATAGCCTTCTGCATTATAATTGTTTTGGGAATTATTCTTGTTTCAGTAGCATTTCCATGCACTGCTGAACAGAGCAGCGGGGCAGTGTTAACAGTACCATGTGCAGTAGGCACAGCATGGGGAGTTTATTTACTGTAAAATCTGAGAGTCACAAAAGAGTGGAACTGTGAGGATAAGAAACTGTTTCTTGTTGGGCTCCCCAGGCCCAGCTTTCTGGTGACAGCCCCAGGGACCATCAGGCCTGGAGGAAATGTGACTGTCGGGGTTGAACTGCTGGCACACAGCCCCTCACAGGTCACTGTGAAGGCCGAGCTGCTCAAGAGGGCGTCAAACCTAACTGTCTCAGTCCTGGAAGCAGAAGGAGTCTTTGAGAAAGGTAAGATAAACCTTGTAGACATACTCTTCTGCAGTCATAATTGCAATATGTTGATGAAGCAAGTGGAGCATTGGAACCCAAATGTGCAGTGACTCACATTTAAGTCCCACTCATGTGGTGTCTAACACGGTCTTCCTTCCGGCTCTTCCAGAGACCCAGGTTCTTTCCCTTTGTGGCTGTGTCATCAGCACATGGTTCCCAGGCTGCCTGGGACAGCACAGATCCTCTGTATGGGAGAGATCTTTATGGGTCAAGCCATGGGGATGGCTCCTGCCACCGCCTCCATGTTCAGAGGCAGCAGAGGCTGGCACATGCTCTCTTATTTTGAGTCTGAGTTCTACTCTTGTCTAAAATTATATTTGGATCAATGAATGCCCCCTTTTTAAATGCTAAGGGAAAAACAATTTTAGGGATCAATACTTATATTTTTTCATTAAAATGAACATTTGTTGTAATTTTTCCTGGTTGCAAGAACTAAACCCAAATCACTCACGATTCTACCACTTAAGCATAAACTATTAACTAGAAGTATGTTTAGATACTTGTTAGAGGTCAGAAACTGAGGCATAAATTCCTGTAATGTTGAGTTATTTAAAAAAATCATTTAAGGGCACGTAGTGAAGGATGGATGAGATTCTACAACAGTTCTTTATATAAATTGATCTCTGCCCATTTAGAGAAGTTAACATTATCATCAAATGAGATACAACACAAGCCTATTTGCATCTGTGGATCTTTCTCCACTGGAAGCTGACTGCCTGGATGAGTAAGTTCCAGATAAGAGTCAGGAAGAGGGGTGTTTATGAGGGGACAGGCCACTTTGTCCGCTTACAGGAGCAATGTCAGGGAGGTAGGGGCCTTGTTTACCTGGAGAGGAAGTGTAGGTTAATTCTTGAGATTGTAATTGAGTCCTAGCACCTCTACCATATGCTAGTTCTATGGTCTTGGGCAGGTTACCTAGTTGCTCCGAGCATCAGTTTCCTCATAGCTAAAGTGTGGATAAGAAAAGTGACTTCTCTGGACTTCTGTAGCACCTGTTAGGTCCTCAGTAAAGAGTAGTTGTTAGTGCGGCCGTTGTGGCCCGCGAGTGCTGCCAGCATGGTACGTATCGAGGGGCGCCGTGCCCTGCGATGTGAGTTAGGGAAGGTCACTTGTGTTGTGCCAGCCGTGGTGGTCTCCAGACCCCACTCTCGCCCTCTCTGCACCCGTTACTGGAAGGGCCTCTGCACATGACTTCGTGTGAAAATCCATGGACAATTCCAAATATGTTGTCAATGACAAGGATTGGCTTGTCTCCAGTTTTGGGCTATTTGATTATTGAAGAAGATTTTAATGTTGCACTTGGAGTTTTTGCTTTAGGTGGACTTACTGATTTGTTGGATGGATTTATTGCTGAAAACTGGGCCAATCAAAAATCAGCTTTGGGAAGTGCTCTTGATCCACTTGCTGATAAAATACTTATCAGTGTATTATATGTTAGCTTGACCTATGCAGATCTTATTCCAGTTCCACTTACTTATATGCTAATTTCAAGAGACATAATGTTGATTGCTGCTGTTTTTTATGTCAGATATCGAACTCTTCCAACGCCGTGAACACTAGCTAAGTATTTCAATCCTTGCTATGCTACTGCTGGGTTAAATCCAACATTCATCAGTAAGGTGAACACAGCGGTCCAGTTAATCTTGGTGGCAGCTTCTTTGTCAGCTCCATTTTTCAATTATGCTGACAGCATTTATCTTCACATACTGTGGTGTTTTACAGCTTTCACCACAGCTGCATCAGCTTACAGTTATTATCATTATGGTCGGAAAACTATTCAAGTGATAAGAGACAGATGAAAGTCACCCATTACCATTAGCAAGAAAGCAATAGACATCAGTGTCGGCAGTGCCAGTGTAAATCTACAGGAGTTCCCTATTTTCGTGTTCAGCTTGAAAATGGACTTGTCAGAACAAACTGTGTCATCAGAATTAAAGTAGTGTGCATTGAAGAGAAGCTTGATCATGTGCATATGCAGAATTTCCAATGTATTTTTAAAATACAAGTAAAACTATAATTTAGAATTTTTAATCTTAGGTTTCTTGATTAATTTATAAGAAATTATTCCAATTATAATCAGTCTTTTTTATATGTTTTTTAAAAACAGCTCAGCATGGAAACTGAAGAGTAGACACCTCGAAGTAGACTTTAGATTGCTCACAAAACAGTAGTGAATTTGTTGGGATTAAATACACATCCTACACATATCCTCACAGCTTGGCTGTAGATGTTTATGTTTGATTTTTAAACCTGTATACACAGTAGCAGTTTGTGTGGTTACTATTTGATCATTTATAATAATGAGAATAAAGTTAGCTTAGCTGTGGATAAAGTGAAATGGTAAAGAGATTTAAAATAAGTTTGAAAATGAGTAAGAGGGCTGGGGATTTAGCTCAGTGGCACTGCGCCTGCCTTGAAAACACAAGGTCCTGAGTTCAGTCCCCGGCACCAAAAGAAAGATGGAAAATGAGTAGGATGACTCAAAATAGAAGATATTGAAATTTGTGTTCAGAAGTCTTCCAGCCTCTCAGGTGCCTAAGAGTTCACATGACAAGTAACAAAGTAGTTGAAGTAAAAGAACATGTCCATTAGCCTTTGCTCCAAAAGTCTGTGAGTTACTTATTTCCACAGTCACTGCATTTCAGATGCAGCAATGTTTCTATGATACTGGAAACTACACGTATGTTATGTAAATAATATGAAACTGTATATTTTTCAAAAGTTTTTTAAACTTTGGAGAATCTTTTGTTAAGATGTTAAAGAAATAAAAATACTGGGAAAACAAAACAAACAAACAAACAAAAGAGTAGTTGTTAGTGTTATTTGTAATGATACCGAAGAAGAGGATGTAGAAAGCATCACTGGGGCAGACCGCACTTGTGACACTGAACTGTCATTTCTGAAAATCACTGCACCCTGGTCTTATGAAAACACAGAAGTATTAAGTCACGGGAGATAGTACTTATGGTGGTTACACATCTATTATTTGTCCATTAAGAACTGGTAATTTTGGCTCTACTAGTGTGGCAGTTTTACTGCAGTCCAGAGGTCCAGAATTACATGATTTTGATAAATTATCTGAGCTTTGCTTGAGTATTTGCATATTCTTGTTCTAGAATTTCTCCTACTACTGTTTTTTCTGCAACCTCCTTTATCAGTTTCTCTTCTGAGGGTACATGCCACTGTGGTTTGGTTTTAACTTTATTCTTAGATGTTTTTTCTGTTGGGAGGGACAGCCATCATCTACCCCTGGGTAGGATCAAATACTGTGCTCAAGACTGGGTTGGAAAACTCTGTCCTCAGAGCAGGATGGATCCCTGAAAAGGAAAGAAGGAAAATGCTACTTCTTTTGCAGTGGGTTTTGACTTCGTCTTAGTTTCATGGAAGCTACCATTGCCAAGAGCATTTTCCCTCTTTCAAAGCAGAGTGCCTCTCTGTGATCAGGGGCTGTGAGTATTGTTCTCAGCGCAGATGCTTCCTGTAATGAGAGGACGTAGGAATCAAGATATTTCTCTCTCCCTGTCCTCACATCTTTTGCTTTATCTCAAGTTGTAAGAATAAGTAGTTGAATGAAGAATTCTAGATCTCCAGTCTGCACCTTCATACAATTACTACTTTGTTTTGTATATTTTCTCCTCCATCACATAACACAAACAAACGCATCTGAGATCTGATTGCTTCATTGGTTTTTTTTTTTTAAGGTACTGGGGATCAAACTTGGGTCCTTGTGCTTGCGCAGCAGGCGGCAAAACCACTGAGCTAAATCCCTGGCCCCTCTTCATTGGTTTACCAGGAGGAGGTTTATCTTCTAGCAGAACTGAGCATCTGGGCTTCTTAGAAATTCCCAAGATGCAGTGGGGGTGTCTCACTATAACCAGAATGTATTTCTGGCTAAATTTATGTCAGAAATAGTAATAGCAAAAGATTAAGATTGCAGAATGTGCTTTAATAAAGGCAGAAAAACAGACTTACTTTGGGGAAGAGTTCATTTATTTGCTTGACAAATGTGGAGGAAATTTTATTTATGTTTCCATACTTGAGACCAGGAGCACTGGTTGCATTACAAGTCATTTTAAAAATACATTAGTCCTTGGGCCAGGGATTTAGCTCAGTGGTTCCGGCACCTGCCTTGCAAGCACAAGGTCCGGAGTTCGATCCCCGGTACCAAAAAAAAAATTAGTTCATGTTTCCTGGGACTGATTATTGTTATTTTTATTTTTGGTGAACACTAGCTCTTTAGAGAAAGTGTTTCTACTAAAAGTTTTGCAGTTCTGTAAGATATATTGATGCCTCTTTTTGTCTGTTTCTGTTTTTTGAGACAAGGTATTGTAGTCAGGGTTTGCAAGGGAATAGATTTAATATAGGACACATAATTTATAGGATTATTTTATAATGTTCACCCAAAAAAACAAATGCAGAGGAGTGCAAGAGATCTGTCTGTGCACTAGAGACCCAGGGAATCCAGCTGAGGGCCAGGGTTCCACAGCAATGTCCTGTACAAGTCCACCTGGAGGCCTAGAGCCCACGACAATGTCTCATGGAGGTCCTTATCAAGCATCTGCACCAAGAAGGCCCAAAGGCCAGTGGTGGAAGCTAGAAAGTTGGCACCAGAGGGGGTGAAGGATTTGTGTCACCAGGCTGAGGGATCTATACTGGAGCCAGAAAATGAAGCTCAGAGCTTCCTCGACGAGAACAGTGGCCATTCCCAGCAAGTACCTGAGCTCATCCAAAGATGAGAACAGCCAAGTTTGCATCAGGAAAACCAGCCATGGCAAGCTTCTTCTAGAAAATTAACAGTAAATGATCTTCCCCACCAGTTCTCTTTTAATGCCCTTGGCAGCAGTCCTCATGTGGGTCCTCCATGCCCAGACCATGCTGATTCAGTTTAGTGGGGCATTCCAAGTTGACCATTAGTTAATCCACCACAGGGTCTCACTATGCAGTTCAGGCTGGCTTTG